GCCACCATGCCCAGCCCAACTTTCTAACCATAGGTCTGTGGCCTGTTCAGCCTCACTCTGCACAGCACTCCCCTCATTGCAATAGTGCAAGAACGTGGTCTTCCTTCCCGTTTACTGTTTGAACACACCAAATCTTTTCTGTCCTCTAGGCCTCTGCATGTGCTGATCATTCTATGTGAAACGCTTCCACTCCTCCTCTCCTCTTACTCCCATTGGACGTGACTGGCATTCTTATTCCCAACATTGGCAAAGATGTCACCTCCTCAGAGAAGCCTTCACTAACCTCCACAGATATTGTCCACCTCGTTATGTTTATTTTTTCTAAACCCTAATGACAGTCCACAGTTACCTTGTTTATATATTTGCTTACTTTTTCATTGTCTTGTCTTTCTCATTCTAGTTTAAGTCCACTGATGACAGGGACTCTGACCGTCTTGATCACTGATGAATCTTCCACACAGAATGCATTAGCACATTGTAGAAATTCAGTAAAGATCTGCTGAACAAATGAAGAAATTTCTTCCTGGTAGGTTTTTCTTCTAATATACACATTGAGAATATTTGAGAAATAATTGAGGAGATGGCTCAAATTTTTTATATACTTCATTTTCAAAATTATGCATTACTTCTGGTGTTAAAGTTATAGGTTTGAAAATAGTTGTAGTGCTGTTGTTTCTTATTGGTTTGGTTTTTAAAATTTATTTTTAATAGACAAAAATTGTATACATTTATGGTGTACAGCATGTTTTGAAATATGAAAACATTGTGGAATGGCTAAATCCACCTAATTAACATATGCATTAGCTCATACACTGATCATGTTTTGTGGTGAGAACACTTCAGTTCTACTCTCTTAGTGATTTTCAAGCACGCAGTATGTTAATAACTGCAGTTGTAGTATGGTTAATAATATCTTTATTTAGCCTGTTATTTGCTTGGGATTTTTGGATGTTTTTAGTGCCTAGATTTAGACAAGCACATAATAACCAAAGCAGGTTATAACATATAAACACAATAATATTAATAACTAACATTTCTGAGGGATTACTACATGCCAAGCACTGTACTAAATCTCATGTACACTAAACTAAAGCATGATTATAGTGCCTTAATCATATAGGTGAGGAATCCTACATACCTTCTGATTTGAAGTGGTCACAGTAAGGTGACATTTTATAATGCTCTTTATTAGGACTCAATATTCACATGTTTCAGCATGTGTTATTTCAAAAAAAAAGATGCTTGTACTGTTTTTTTGTCACGTTAGGAAAATACATACATGTTAGGAATATACATACATATAATACCCATGTTAGGTGTATACATTTACAATGTACGACATGTTTTGAAATACTAGTGAGCCCTAACATGACTGAAAAACAGTACAAGCAGCCTTTTCTCAGAATCCCACATGCTGAAAAGGCTTTCCATAATCTTTTTTTGAAAAGACTTCTTCACTGATCTAATGAAACACATAGTCTATTGAAACCAATAAAACCAAATGCTTAAATCAAATATTTGGACATTCGTTTATATGCATTTTACATCCCTCTGTAGAGTAAAAGAAAGCATCCTTTGACCAGATGCTTTCCTCCCATTTTCCCTGGGTCCAATGTCATGCCAGCCCATTTCACAGACAATAGAGCTGGGATGACCAGTAGCAGCTAATATAGTATTGATTACTTTATGACACTACTCACTCAACACTGAGTCTAATAACAATTCTC